ACACAGAGGCTGCTGAAGCTCTGGCAGACTTAAAACTACGGTACTGTTATATGTTAAGCGCTTTAAAAACACTCAATCACTTCTGGAGGAATTTTCTCTTAGAAAGATTAGCTGGTCAGGGGCCATTTGAATCTTGCAAAGGTTGCCCACTCCTCTGAAAGCCTGATCTCTAATCTCCAGGAAGGCTCATCCCAGATGGACTGGAAGGACTAACAGTAATTTAAAAACCCAAGACACTTCAACATGTGTTCAGTACTTCACTCATTGATGAAGCTGGCAATATTCGTTTATTTGTCTTATGTCAGCAAAATCCACTCAAAGACCAAAATCTACAATTGATTGATCCTGATATCTGTTTTACACTTACTCCTCACTTCTAGAAAAGTTTCTTATAATCCCAGATATGAAACATTGTGATTCATGCTCAATAATCCAGGTAGCAAAATCTAACAAAGTTAAGTCAGGTCCTCTGGACGGATTCTTCTTGTTGAAACGTTTCGTCTGTCATCCAAAAGACTTCTTCAGTCCGAGGAGCCACAACAAACTCAGTCTTATAAATAGCACCTTCCCATAGTGGATCAACCAGTTTGATGGTGCTCAGGTGCTTCATGGAGTCTGCCTCCTCCACCGCCGCCTGCTCAAACTCTTGGAACTAGTTTGAGGCAATCATGGCCAAAATGGTTCAAAATATCTTGATTCATGCTCAATGATCAGATAGAAACATCTAACAAGGTTAAATGATATTTGAATCATTATGATTATAATCCCTTATATGTAACCTAAAATAATTTCCCAAATTGTCTGTTTTTTTTGTTCCCTTAAGGAAAAATATTAGATGGCAAGATTATAATGTGAATGAAAACATGTAAAGGAAAAAACACATTTACAATAGAAAAACACACATATAATAGATTCACCTCGGACACTTAATACAAAGTAAATACATTGTTCAACCATACCAGACCAGACTTCCATTTTGGTGTGGTGGCTAGAACTACCAGTAAGTGTGAAAAAGGTAAAAAAGTCACTATCAAAAATTGGGTTGCCATGTCAAAATCCAAGATGGCCACCACCATATATATGTATGTAAACCAGCTAACCCAATCATTTTAGGAAACTATGCTTTTTAGTGTTTATATTGTTTAAAAGTATAGTTTCAAACAACTGTGGTGACTAAACATTAATCTATGGTGGCCCAGACCATCATTGGCCACACACTGACACCGCCATCATGCTTGGTTGTTGATAAAATTGCTCCCTCCACTCGCAAAATTAAGAAAAAACTATCTATGTACTTCTACACAGTGTAACTTCTACCCACTTGAATATCTTGCACCCAAAACATTTAGGTTTACTGGCATATTCTGTTCAGTTCCAGTCCAGAAAAACACATTTTAAAAACTACAAACATTTACTATTCAAATCCCTCAGTGATGAGGGACATTGGTATATCACTTGTTCATAAAGCACTTAAAAATAGCAACAAGGCTGAGCTGTATAATAAAAAACAAGCAGAGGAGACAGAATAAAAGACAAATCTACAGGATGAAAAACAAAATAACAGTTAAACCTATGAGATAAATTAAATTAATAAAAGCACATTAAGTTTAAAATTAGAGCCCGACCGATATGGAAATTTTGACTATCACCAACCGATATTGGGAGGGAAAGGCGACTGCCGATAATCGATATAATGACTGAAAATTTTTGAGCTTTGTCCACCCCCAAGAATCTAAGTAAACAGCGAGTGGAGCGAGGCTTGTTTATTTAGCGCAGCTGTTAGCAACCATGAAGCTAAGCTAATCAGATTCAGGCTATATGTCGTCACACTCTATGTTTACAATCATAAAAACAATCTTCCTAATGTGTATTCACATTTTCTATTCTCCACTATTCACCATAAAGTTATCAAGTGTGTTACAAAAATATAAATTTAACAAAGAAACACCTTCACTGCTCATTGTTAAAACAGTCAGTCACGTATGGTGAAGGTTTAATTAGTACTGACCGCAGCAGAGGGTTTTTTTTTGCAAAGAAGTAAAGATTTCAAACAAACAATGCATTTTATTAAGGATGATGAAGATAAAGTTACTAACACTGATATATTTGACTTCTACATTAGATTTATTGTTCTGGATAAAGCTTTACAAGGCAATAGCCTATGCTAGGTTATCTGAACGTTAGCTTGCTAACTTGAGAGGCACGTAGCTAATGACAAGCAGGTTGGAGGATTGAAGAGAATTTATTATTGTTGATTTATTTTACAGATCAGTTAAAATAAACTTACCATGTTCTGTTCATCAAAATGTGCTACACAGCATTGTTCTCTGCTTTGGCTGTGCTGAAAGTGAAAGTGAAACTTAAAGTGAACGGCCATGACTTGAAGGTAATCGTCATACACCCTCTGCTGGACACATTGTACAATTACACCTTTTGCACGTAAGGACACAGCTTGTTCCCAGTGTTTATATTGGTGCATAATGGGACAATTATCACAGATACCGATATGTCCTGAAACGTCTATATCGGCCTAAAATACAGGCCCTACAGATATATTGGTTGTGCTCTTTTTAAAATTCTCACACTGGTTCGAAGTCTAAAGAACAAAAGTGTGTTTTTAACCAACTTCTTTAAAGTTTATACCTTGTGAATGAGTTACTTTAATGAAAACGTTTGAGTTAATCTAATTAAAAACTTTATTCAATAATATTTTTAGAATTGATTTTAATTAAAAAAAAAAAAGGATCTACTGTGATTTTAAAACAAATCAAAAATTCTTCACATTGGCCAGAGCTCATTGTTGATTTCAAAATTTTCTTGGGCCGTACAAGAATCTTTATAGTTACAGGAAATAAAACTGTGGGTTGTTCTTGGTGTTTTTATAAATACCTCGTATCCAGTTTGTGATGCAATTTCGACTGAAGATCACTTCGTTTTTGTGGTGAGTGACTACAACAAATAACAAAGAAACTGGCCACAATTTATATTGTGAGGTCTGATAACTGAGTGAGAGCAGCTGAGAGGAGTACTGATGATTGACAGGTGTGTGTGACCGAGCAAACAGAGGAGCTAGAAATCATAGCCATGAAAATAGTAACAATTAATCAAAAAAGTCCAAGCTCAATAATCCAGGAATACAATCCAAATGACTGAAAATTGCTGGATTGTATACCTGGATTATTGAGCTTGGACATTTTTTGTTTTGAACCAGTTTGACATGACTGTCGACGAGGAAGAGGGCCAGCACCAGAGGAGGGGGCGTGCCAAAGAGACCATCTTAGCACCAACATAACTGGTTTGTTCCACTTTGGAGTAAGCTGTTTGGGGGAAGAATCAGTTTTGTGTTGTGTGTTTCCTTAGCTGATGAAGCCTTCTGGATGGAAGGTGAAACGTTTCAGCACAATAAAAAGAAACTGTCCAGATGACCTGACTGAAAATTGTTAGATTAAAACTTAATGTTATATTATACAGGAATTATAAAAACATAAAATGCTTAGAAATTTAAACTAAAACATACTGCCAAGATTTAAAATACCATACCGCTTTATTTATAAAGCGCTAAAAAACAGCAACAAGGCTAACCAAAGTGCTAAAATGATGCAGAACTGTATCAATACAATGAAAATACTACAAAAAAAATAAATAAATAAACATGCTGGAGAGTTAGCTAGCGCATTAAAATGTGAAGAATAGCATATTTCACTTTAGTCCGTACACTTGTCTCTAAATTAGCTGCTGTCTGATCCGTTTATCCAGGGATTTGAACCAGGAGCCCTTCAATTAACAGCCTTGTTCTCTGCCGGGCAGCCACTCACCATCCCATGAGGCAGTGGCTGCTAAACTTTCATCCTCCCAGTTTATATCTTTTTTCCTGTTGGACGATTTATGAAATTGCCTTTAAGTGAGAATGCAGATTAATTAAAACAGTCAATTTAATTTACCGGCGTCACATATAAGTTTGCTGTGGTAATTGAATCCTCTCTTTCACCTTTTATTTTCTAACCCAAGAGAAGGTTTACGTCAATTACTGATGATCACAGTGAAAACAAAGAGGAGATGAATGTCCAGTTGTCCGTTCTGGTGCTGCTCAGTGCAGAGGAGCAGGGGTGGAATCTGTTTTCCTTTTTTCTGTTTGCTGAAAGGGCCGGGAATTGGATGACTGATCAATATTATTGGATTTGCGGATGGCATGCGGTGCAGCTGAGTCCAGCATGAATGCAAGCTTCTGATGAAGGACCCACTGCACAGACAGCTTTGAATAGTGGATCAGACATGTTTCCGGGTTGGCGCTCTCATTTGGCGTAACACAGAGACATAACCAGCCAACGCACAGAGGCATTAATGGAATGTGATCAGGGTCGTTGTTGTAGCAGAAACGCAATTTGGTTGAAACTATGGTGACTGTTGCCATGTATAAAAAAATCGATGCAGGATCAATATATTGATTGGATGTGAGGGAGGGGGGTAGAAAAGAGGCTGAAAATGGATCTGACCTGTGATTGCGACAGAAAGCGAGGCCATTGTATGTTAGAACCAGGTCTCGCTCGAGCTTATAGAGCTTCATTTAACAAGGACGCTCTATTTGTTTGTAGGGAGGGGGAGGGGGGTCTGGTCAGGTTATTGGGTCCCCCACACGTGACTCACCCCCCACCTCCTCCCTTCACTCTCTCGCCTCCCTCCCACCCCACTTGCTCTTTGGCGCTCTATAACCGTTGCAAGCATATTGATTATTTCAAATAGTGATTATCTAAAAGGCCTTCTGCTACTGTAGGCATTGGATTTATTTTGGCTTAATTATTTATGGGCCAGCACTAGCTGTAAGTATTACTGCTGTGAGATCATGAAGGATTACATTGTTAATATTCAGCAGTGTATTTTTATTTATATAAACTCCAAGCCTTACTGGATGAGCTTTGGCATGCTCCCTGAAGTGCCTCGTCTCTCCACTCCTCTTCCTCTCACCGTTTCTCTCTCGCTCTCTTCCATTGGTGTGTTTGCAGAGGGAGCTGAACTCTGTGGCGTCTGAGCTGGCTGGTCGACAAGAGGAGAGCGAGCATTCCCATAAGCACCTGGTAGAGCTGAGCAGGGAGTTCAAGAGAAATGTCCCTGAGGTGAGTCTAGCACTCTGCCCCCCATTATCTCAACCCTACGTGTCATTTTCCTCATCGTCACCTCAGCAGGAACCGGCTGTCTACATCACCGCTGCTGCTCGAGCCCCCGCATGTACCTTTTGAACAGAGTTATTTATATCTTTTGTAAGATCTGCATTTGTATGTTAACAGTAAATATACATGTGAGAAGTCAGGGACAGCCTCCCCAGCTCTACAGGCTCAGTTAATATTTAAATGCTGGGGGGGCCTTGTTGCCTCTGAGTTTAGAGTGATGAGACCAGAAGGCTCATTTATAAAAGGTAAGCACAAACGTGGTCCCTAATTCCAAAGCTCAAGTACGAGCATTTGAAAAAGTTTTCTTTTTAAGTTTCTGTAATGTGCCAAGAGCTTGTGTTTCTCTGAACCTGCGCTGACTCCTAAAAATTATTGAATGCAAATGAGGATGAGTGTCCCTCTGCACCCACTCACATAATTACTTTTCCCTCCTTTTGTGAACATAAAAGTTACATAAAAGACCACTATGAGTTCAAAAACATATATGTGGATTTTAAATAACAGACCAGAGAATTAAATGGTCAGTCTTAAAACATTCATAATCACATTAAAATAGGTCTGTTTATTTTTTTTACTCTGCCTAGTTGTGAAACGATTCATAACTTAAAGGACAATTTACAATCTTTAGCTTGACATTTTACGCACCAAATGAGAATTTACATACAAGAGAGTTGAATTACCAAAAATAACCTTATTAAGGCAAGTATGCGTGAATAGTTGTAATATTTAATAAACTTATATTATATGTGTCACTATGTGCTTGTGTGCAAGTTTTTTATTTTTATTTTCAGGCTCTCTATCTTTGGTTAAAGATTGAGAGCCTGTTGGGAATTTTTTTTCCCCAAAAACCTACAGTATGTTGTCACTTTCAACACTTTTGTTGTCCGTCCAAACAGGTCTCACTTGTAAAAGAGTCTTCGAGGCTCAATGTGATTTATCTGTATAAATAAAGGTTGAATTGAATTGAAATGTGTGATTATTGATTTAGATCACACATGGAATCTGACCTGTAAAACAGTTTGGTAATTTTTGATTTATTTGTTTATTTTGTGTTATAACAATACCTCAGGGCAATAAATATGATACCATTATAAAGCCTTTTGTTTTCTCCTGGATGATGTCATAACGCAGCAGTGTCTGACCCAGCTGGTGAGCAGAAAGAGGAGGTGCCAGGCTGTTGTGGCTGTGTATGGTTTTTCCACATGCTACTGAAGCCTGAAGTGTTGAAATGCCAATATGTTTTGTAGATTAAGATTTCAATCACCCAATTTAATAAACAACACCAAGCAAGAGATAATAACATAACAATCTGTTTGGTATTGGCAAAAGAAAAAAACAAGAATTATCAACTTTTTCATGGTGGGAACCCACATGCTCAATACTCTGCGGCGCAACCCACAAATGCTTTTCCTTACAAATGTGGCACCATTTAGAGGAAATAAAAAGACTTTCCAAAGGTCTTAGATGGATTACCAAGAAACAGTGTTACAACAAAGAAATAACAGACCAAAAACAAGTTTTATTGTTTTTTGTACTAAGTTTATATACCGGTATCAAAAAGCAAAATTTGTTTTCATCTGTGAGTTCCACTTAGGCAAACCCCACACATTTTTATTCTTGTTTTTATTTTTTTGTCCTTCACGTAGTTGCTTCACTTTTTTTGGTTTTGCTTCTTTGATTGGCCCACAAGCATGCTGCTGACTGTTCATGTTCTGCATTTGCTTAAACAGCCATCCTTAAACTTTTTACTAAACAGTTTTCTCATGTTTTTTTTATTTTTTATTTTTATTTTTATTGCTGTTTGGGCATTTTCATCTGTAATTTGGCGTTTCATCTGCAAAAACCGATATGCAGTGGGTGGAAAGAAATATTGGAGATCTTTTTTTTGTTAATTTCTCCACTGATGAAGAAATAAACAATCCATTTGTTTCCCACAGATTGATTATGTGAACATATGGCACACTGATTGCAATCAATCAATCAATCAATCAATCAATCAATCAATCAATCAATCAATCAATCAATCAATCAATCAATCAATCAATCAATCAATCAATCAATCAAACAATCAAACAATCAATCAATCAAACAATCAATCAACCAACCAATCAACCAACCAATCAACCAACCAATCAATCAATCCTAATCTGAACTGGTTCTAAAGTCCAGATGTCCACAGAACCAATATCTTCCACTCCAACCTCTCCACCACCACAGATGAGACCACAGAGCTGTCAAAGGAGGTCAGAGACAGACATTAGATCTGCACAAGGCTGGAATGAGCTACAAGACCTTCAGCAGCTGCTGGTCCATTCACACATGGAATAAATAGTCCATGACCATCAGAAGACCTCGGTCTGGAGCTCCATGTCACAGGGCTGAGGATGATAAGAACGATGAGGGATCAGCCCTCAGCTACAGCTTTGGTACTCGTTAATGATCTGAAGACAGCTGGGGCCGCAGTCTCCAACTACACCAATGGTAGGACACTACGCCACAGTGGATTAAAACCTTACAGGACCTGCACGGTCCCCCTGCTGAAGAAGTCACATGTTCAGGTCTGTCTAAGTTTACCATCTAGATCAGATGTGGGCAATATAAGGTCGGAGGGCCAAAAGTGGCCCTTGGGTAATCTCCACCTGGCCCCTAATATCCTTAATTGAAAGAAAAACAACTTTTAAATAAGTTGATGAGCACATGCATTTTATCAATGAAACTTTAGGAAAGCTAAATTAAACATCTTAGGATGCGTATATTGAAAATGTTTAGATTGAGAGAAGCTAAAACTTTTTTTAAAGTCATGTTTCCAGAACGGTAGCATGGTGGCACAACTGGTAGAGCTGCTGCCTCTCAGCGAGCAGGTCCCTGGTTCAAACCCCGGTCCAGGGGCCTTTCTGGGTGGAGTTTGCATGTTCTCTCCGTGCATGCGTGGGTTTTCTCCGGGTACTCCGGTTTCCCCCACAGACCAAAAACATGCATGTTAGGCTGATTGGTAACTCTAAATTGTCCCTAGGTGTGAGAGAGAGTGAATGGTTGTTTGTCTCGTTTGTCTCTATGTGTCCCTGTGATGGACTTGCGACCCGTCCAGGGTGTACCCCGCCCCTCACACAGTGATTGCTGGACATGGGCACCAGCGACCCCCGTGACGCAAAATGGAATAAGCAGGTAAAGAAAATGGATGGATGGATGGATGTTTCCAGAACTAGAATTAACATTAAACACTCCAAAAATCAAACATATAACTTGCACCCCCCACCCCCACATTTATGATAACAAATGTGATGTCACAATAGCCAGTTTGCAGACAGGATGACTTATATTCCTAAAAAGTATTGGGGAGACATATTTTTTATCAAGCATGCTAAATATACTAGCCTTAGAACATGATAGCATGCTCGTAGCCTGAAAAAAGTCTTCAGATGATCTATTTTAAAGGACAAGTTTTCAATTTCTCAATGTGGCCTTTTGATTGCTTTAAGAATCTTAATTTGGCCCCCTGAAAAAAATGTTGCCCACCCCTGATCTAGATGATTCAGTAAAGGTGGGGAGAAAATGCTGCGGTCAGACAATACCATAAATCCGTTCTTTGGCATCAACTTGACCAGCCAAGTTTACAGGAATGGAGCATGCCCTGTAGGACGTTATCCTCAGAGACAAGCACAGAGGTGGAGACATTATGGTTTGGGACTGTTTTTCTGCTAAGGCTACATGACAACTTCACCAGTGGATGGGGTCATGTGTAATGTTTGATGAGAACATTTTTCTCTCGGACAAAACATTGAAGATGGGATGGGTCACAGATGGGCTTTCCAGTATGCACTGACTCGACTAGCAAGGCAAGTAGCATCCACCAAATAGAGATTTTAGAGTTTCTGTGGAAAGGAGTGGGTCAAAATTCCTCCTGGGGTGTTTGTATATCTGTTGACAAGAAACATCTTACTGCTGTGCTCCCATTTCAAATTTACAAAATAATCAGGAGATCAAATAATTGGAAATAGTTGATTCTTAGGTAATAACATCTTATTTCAAATGATAGCTAGCTAGCTACATAGATAGATAGATAGATAGATAGATAGATAGATAGATAGATAGATAGACAGACAGACAGACAGACAGACAGACAGACAGACAGACAGACAGACAGACAGACAGACAGACAGACAGACAGATAGATAGATAGATAGATAGA